GCTTCTGCGCCAGCCTCGCAAGCTGTGGCTACTGAACACCTTCCAACTATAATGAAAACATATCAGTATGTAGTTGATCCAAATTTTGCCCAAGTATTCATTAGTAAGTTCACAATGGTAAAAAATAGAGCCTTGAGGAAGGGATTTAATTAATAAATATTTGTGGCAAGAAGAGTAGCAGCTTACCATTTTGAAAGTAATACCTTCTATGCAGTAATCTGCATTAAATAGAGATACACATAATTTTTGAGGAGGTAGGAGACAGTAACAAAGTTAAGCCTAATTAATAGCTTTTCTAACATCCCTGCTCCCTAGCCAAGCTATTAGTGCTGGAAGGAAAGCACTAGCCTATCCTAGCAAACAAATAAAATGAAAAGGGACAGTACTGGACTACAAACTGAATCAAAAATCTCTTGCCCTTTCAATAACTGAAAACCAAAGAATAAGGAAAATTTGAGGCCACAGACACATTTTTCCATACACAAAAATTTATATCAGTACTACTATATCATATTTTAGGGTCTGCCAGTTTCTGTTATAAACTAGGTTTATAACTCAGCTGTAAAAACTAGCTCAAGGTTACATTTTCCCCCACTAAATCTGAAAAACCCAGTGTGGCTGGTTAAAGTTACTAGTGACAGCTGGGTTTTAGCACCACTTTAACCTTAAAATAGCTTCCTTTATTTGACTGAAGTTTTGCAGGACATTAGTCCTTAATGTAAACTAGTGCCTTTGTGTGGTTTGGAGAACAAAATGCGAACTACGACATGAATTTATTTTTAAAACTGTCTGTATACAGAAACTTTATTTTGGCCACCATCAAATTTTCAGAAGTACTTTCATCGTAGGTATGACATTGTGCATTGTCTGGTAGTTATTTGGAAGTCAGTAATCTGCAGTTTAAAAAAATTTAAGAAACAGAGCTTAGCGTCCTTCAAATCTACCAAAAAAAAAACCTATAAGCTCATTGTGACAAAGAAGTGCAGGTGCTGCATGTAGCCTTGTTGGGTATCGCGCCCTTCATCTCCTAACCACTATGCTAGTACATTTTTCTCACTTAAGCCCTAATTTCTTTTATGCTTATCATCGTTGAAGTGATAAGAACACGGTTATTTAGAAACAGGACCTTTCAGATATATTTGTGCTAAGCAAAAAAAATGAGACCTTTTTTTCAAGTTGATCCAAAAGTATGGATCCACAAGCTCCAATTATATTAATCGCTATCATGATGCACTTCAGCATACTATGTATGTTAAGCAAACACATTCAAGACAAATGAGCTACATATCTTATTTTCAAATGTTTTACAGGTTGTTAGTAGGCAAGAAATTGCTCACTCCCAGCATGGCTAAATTGCTTTATTAAACCAAATGTGGCTATGGCAGCTTTATTTAAAAAAAAAAAAAACAAAAAAAAACTTACTTATTTTTAAACTGTGTGTAACGTTTCTCCCCCTTTTTTTTTTTTTTTTAAAAAATACTTACGGACACAAACTTTGGGGATTCCTGAACATGGCCAGAATTGGAGTCTTTAAGACTGGAATATAATCTGATAATCATTTTGAGCAAGTAACTATACTTTAGTTAGTTAATATCATCTTCTATGCATACCAGGTATGACCAAATGCACAGTAAATAAGAATATAGTAATTGCAATAGGTTTTTTTGTTTTTTGTTTTTTGTTTTTTTTGAGTTCTGCTTTGTTAAAAGATGCATCTAAAAGCCCTGTCTCTTGTGTACTGAGAATGCAGAAGCCTGGAATCTTGACTTGTCCTTTCTTGAATGTGAAATGAATTTAGCCATTGTCACCATTTGATACAGTGATTTAATAACTTACTTAGTCATTGTTTGAGTAACACTATTTAAAAATATGTACATATATATAGTCTTCATTCCTGAATATTTTATGGAAATAGTTTAATACTTCTAATTTTGCATATGGTGCATAAATTGTAATATAATGAGATGATTGTTTAAAGATAATAAAACTATTCCTACAGTACTTGGGTTTTTGAGGTATATTTGGTCATTCAGTACAAGTGACTGGAGCAGCTCATTGCGTAGAACAATGACAATAACACCATACAAACTTCACATAGACCCCATTAGATTCCAGTAGGTGACTGGTCTTTGTCATACACCAGAAAATACAGTAGATCATGACAATCCTTTGGAAGCAAAAACTGATGAGTAGCTTGCCAAAACACGTGCTGAAAAGTTTTATGGTTTTGTGACTAACTGAATCAAAACAGCACTGTAGTCACCCTTTGAATTAGACTAATCTGTTCATTATGTTTGTGGTACACAAACCAGCCAAGAGGACAGAAACACACCTGTAAAAAATGATGCAAGGCAGCGGTTTAATTTCCAAAAGTCTGTAGATTGCTGCCCTTGTTTAAGATTATATTAGTATTATTCCTGAATTATTTTTTTTCCTGGAATAAACACGTGCTTAAATTACACTCTTCAGTGAATTAAGCTAGCATCTTTACAGCATTAGGCAGGTTCTTTCTCCTCCTTCTGACCACATGTATGGAAACATGTGTGGAGATGGCCTATAAATCAGTCTCTCCTACATATGAGCTGTGTGAACTGTGAAAACAAAGTTGTCCAGAGAGCAGCTGCCTGTACTTAGCTACAAAAGCACTCCAATGTGTACGCTTAAAACATACCTACGCTCATAATGCTCTTTAGCCCTGGAGAGCTCACAACTTCAAATCTATCTTTTTAGTTTGCTTCCAAAACAATCAATCATTCCTCAAGCACTTGAGACTAAAGCAAGCCAGCCAAAAATTTGAAGGCAGAGCCAGGCTGATGCAAGACAAGACCTTTCCCCAAAGTACTTTAGGTCAAACAATTCTTTTTCATATATTTCATATATAAATATAGCAAAATCTTTGAGATCAGTTGGGGGATGGGCCCAGAACTTAACGTTTTTTAAAGCTGCACCACCTACAAACAACATGCCAGACCCTGCAACAAGCAGCTGCTTAGGGAGTAATGCATAGGGGCTTTTCCCGTGCCTTGCCTCCCCCAATTGTTTGAAAGATGCAATGATAGACAAGACCAGGATTAACTGAACGCTCTCTGGCAAAGGCCCAGAAGGGGGTGGTGGGGGAGGAAGAGGATTAAAGGGCTTGAAGGACTGGTGCTGGTTTCAGGTGAGGTGATCCCTTCTTGCATACTTACTGTTAGGTACCCAGCTTTGCCCTCCTTTCCCGCGTCACAGGTAAGAATGTTCTGCTCATGCTCATCGTTCTTAGTACTCATTTATAGGCTGCTTTTTACTGCCTGCTGAAAGGAGATATTTGTTTTGCATCCATCGTGAAATCTTAGCGTCATTATAAAGAAAGCAACAGTTATAAGGTGATTACTTCCAAAGTGCAAACATAAAAGGAAGAGCTCAGTTTTTTTCTTTAATGCATCTAGCCAAAGACACCTTTGATCTGGTGCTCTGCTGTATGATCAGTAGCTATCTATCTTCAGACACAAGACTCGCATTTCTTTAAGTCATTGCTAGTAGTAAGAACCAGAACGCACACACAGACTATAACTGCTATTGGCTATAGCAATTTATAAGACTTAGAATTTAAGAGTAAATTAATTCAAAGCAACTGGGAAGAATGTATGGGCTAGAGCTGTGAGGGAAGCCAGTTCTACCAGCCAGCACACCTGGCAGTAGCAACTTTCTTTGCCTCTGAAGCTGTCAGTATGACTAAAGACCCCGGGCTATTAAAACCTGCGGACATGCCCGAGAAAATGTTAGTCAGTGCTTAATGGCATACAATGTTTATACTGTACATTTGGAAGATAAATTGCTAGCATTTGCTATTGTTAAGCTTTGGTTTACATTTAAAGGAGCAGGAATATTTTGATTACTAGATAGTTTCCCCTGCACCACTAATGTCAAATTATTTCTTTGTTCAAAGGAAGCGCTGTGTGTATGGAAAGTTTAAAGAAAATCCTTTGTTCCTGCATACTAGTGTTCTGGATCAAATATGTTACTTAAGTAGCTTTCATTAGTGTAAATGTTGCTCGCTGATACCTATTAAGTGTTAAGAAGTTAATGGTCCATTTAAAATAATAAAAGTTACGCCAAATTGCATTTGAACTTAAGACCTTCAAATACAATACAGATGGCTTAATTTGTCATGCTTCTTCATACAAAGCCTTCCCTTCTTTCACATGATCAGATCTGGCTCCGCTTATAGTACCCACATTCAGTAATGAGTAGCTAGAGTCCTGGCATTATCTTGAACCTCAGCTACAGGCAATGCAAAAACCATGTTCCAAATGTCTGGTAATGAGGCACATGACAGACCATCAGGTCTTGGACTACACAGAATACAACCTAGATCAAGACTATGCTTAGGTGGATAGTTCCAGATATTAAAAAGATGATGCATGTCTACAAGGTGTGGCAGAGTTCCACTATCGTAATATCCTAACTTAAGTTTCCTCTCCCTCTGCCTCAATCCTCCTTCCCTTTCTACATCAAATACACATGTACGTACATACCTGCAATTTAGACTCATTTTCCCCGTTATAGTTACCCATTGTATAAGAGTCAGCATTTGTGTAGTTTCTAAGTCTCGATGTAACTTACTTCGTTGCTGTAAGGAAAGCGAGACAGCGATGGAAGCAGAAAAAGGCTATCTGGTGTATTTCCAGAATTCCTCTCCAAGTTCTTTCATCTCAAGGTCACTTCACCTTCTGAAAGGAGAGGTAATGGAGACCCTTCTAGAAATCCACCCACTCCCTTCCTGTTAACTACCACCATCTCCTTGCAAATTCCTGTGAGCAGTGAAAACTCAGTCTAGCTGTAATTGCTAAAGAATACACTTTGCTATCAAATATTGAATTTGGCCAAAAGAAAGATGCAAATAATTCTTGGGGGAAAAAGCCAGGCTTAGTAGTCTCAACCAATTTATAAAGACTTTCCACTACTCTTCCCAGCGTCTAAACGTTTAGGCATTTCAACACTAATGAAGACAATTACGCTCCAGTGACATAAGTATTTTATTTATTGAGTTATATTAGAGCTTGTCATGGATTGAAGTGCATTACACTTTATAATTCAGTGAACAAGTAAGGTTTGGCCGTCCAGTCTCCTTAGATTGAAGGGAATCTGCGAGATAAAAAAGAAATGTTAAGTTGGACAAGCTTCTTATTCTTTAAATAAACACATTAGTATGCATGAATGCAAAGCAGTAGAGGGAAATGTTTATGCAGTGGTTTAGTCTAGAGAAATTCCCCTTGTTATTTCCTGATCGTTTAAGATTCACACACCCTTCATGTGGCAAACAGAAGTGAAACATGGAACAAATCAAGAGCTGGAACAATACTGCACAGCACTTAAGATTCACTAGACATGCCACACTGAAAACCCGAATAAATCTTGCTAAGCATTAAGGGCCTGAAAGAGAAAGGAATGCAAGTTTCAGATAGGAGCCAGAGAGGAAACAAGTGGTGTAGGCAATCTACCAAGGAAGGAAGAAAACCAAATTCAAATTGCTTCTCCGCATTACATTGGACACAGCCCAAGACCAGCTGTGCTCCATGACAAGAGTCATACAAGTGATTAGCACCAAACTCTTAGCTTTCCCCCTTTATTACATTACTGAACACACTGTAGAGGTAGGATACTCCTCACAAATTGTTATACTTACATTGTACATTATCAGTACCACCACACAAAGCCAGTACGAACAGCTAAAATATTGTAAATCACACCCAGATACCAAGTTGTCTACACACCAAGCAGGAACAAACTCAGTACTGAGTTTCAAGCTAACACCTTAACTACAGAGGCGCTCCTCTCTGCCAACCCTTTCCTCAATTTTGGGGGCAAGAACTGAATTCCAAAGTGAGTATTTAAATGAAGTTAAACCACTGAATTTACTGCCATACATAGGACATAATCCAATAAAATTAGAATAGAGGTAGAATATCCATTAACACTGTACTTTTTAAGTAACTACCCCCAAAAAAACATCAAATGTAACCTCAGTCCAACTTTCATAACTAACATTTAAGTTACTGAGTCAAATGGAAATGTCTTCCATCTATTTTATGTACTTTTCACAGTCTTTTTTAAAGGTCAGAAACACTGGCGTTGCCTTCTCCCTCTTGTACTTACGTATTCATGTGCCACTCTACCCAGGCATGGAAAAAAAAAAAAAATCTGTCTTTCTACTATGAAGGAGTGAAAAAAGTTCTTATTTATACAAAATAAGTCATAAGAAGCATCAGCAATTCAAACAAAGTGACTTATAAAGATTTGTCCTTTGCATTTTCTTTTGAGTTGGTGTAACTGAGGAATGGAAAAAATATTTAGGAAATTTTTACTAATGTTAACAGGTATACACAATCCGCAAGTTGATTTCTTTTAGCTGCAAACAGGAGCATAACCCAGCTAAGAATGGAGCACTATTTGCACTGAGAAATCCTGTTTGAGATTGCAGCTAAATTTTTAACATGCATCCTTGTTGACAAAATACTCTCATGAAGGCCTCCTGACTAAAGAGTGCAATTCCAGTGCCTAAAAAAGTTTAAAAGTGCCTATATATTAGCAACAGGGCTGAACTAGAGGGAGAAATACCAAAATTTTAAAGAAGTAAATTTATCATTTCATTATTTCTCTATACTGTATTCATAGCTAAGGAACAGAAAAATCATCCTCAAGAAAAAATAACAAAGGGAATGCCATCTTTTTTATATCTACTGGAAAAGCTGAAGCTACGCTTCTTTTATGTAATAGTGTTATGCCGAAACCAAATATCCATACAACGTCACACATCAGAACTGAGTATTAATACTGCTAAGTACAAATGTTTTATTCTGTTTTGCTGCCTTAATCAAACAGGCCGAGAAAAGCCATCTGTCCAGGATAATTAGTGCCACAGATTATCACGCAATGATCGCAATATAAAAACATCCCAAAAGAATGAAAAAGCTATCATTCTAGATTAGTTTGAAGTCATTTTAAGAGAAGCAGAGGACTCAGTGTAAGAAACATGGATCAAGAAATGGAGAAGAATTCTTTATTGAGCTCTTACATCATGAGTTGGTACAGATGAGTGAGCATACCTGTTAGCAATTATGACAAGGTTGAAATCAAGATTTTTTTTTTTTCTTGGCATTAGGAAGCAAGGAGGAATGACGTTTGGTAGTCTTAGAACAAAAGGCAGTGTTAAGTGCTGGGAAAATAATATCGGGAACAAAGTTCTATTCAGGCTTAATTCAATAAGGGGAAAATCTGAGTATTATCACATAAGAGGTGGTATGCCACCATTATTTTTTTTTTAAATACACATACACACACACATATATATATATTTTTTCCTCATGGCTAGTTATCTCCCCCCTCTCATCAACTTTAGAAGACAAAAGGATGTGTGGAAGTTGTCTCTGTTTCTTACATTAAAATCCATGCTACAAGAGATACAGCGTTTCCATTTTCTCATTCACTGAATTACGAGCATGACAGTAGCAGATTTGGATAGTCACATTACTATCCAATTAAAGATGTGACAGCATCAGTATGATATCCTAAGTCAGGCAAGTCTTACACAGAGCTTCCACTCCCCCTCCATGTGAAGACAGCTGTTCTGAATGCAGCTGTATGAGGCCTGGCAGTATTCATTGCAGAGGTTTGCTATAGCCTACAATTTAAACGAATTACCCAAAAGGTATGCACAAGCTTCCCATTCTGACCTTACCCCCCACCCTTCCTCACACCCCATGTTACCTCATGTTTTAAGTTAGCCCCAGGTCTCTGTTGTGCAATTTGTGTCCTTTTTCTTCAAAACCCCTTTCCATTTGATAGGAAAGGAAGAGCCTCAAAATATATGCATGAGGTTTCACTGAAACAATTTGACTTACTTTTGCTCTAATATGGAGTAGCTTATTACCTGTTAATACAGGTTACCATCATTTGGGCTGTGCAGATTCAAACACACCAGCTGCTCTCATGGCTTCAAAGTCCTTCATGGGATCATAGTTTTTATAGAACTCTGCATAAGCTCTTTTTCTGGGTTCAGCAACACCAAACTGAAAAGTAATACACAGAGAATTAAAGCTTGCACAGCTAGACAAGCAGGAATTTTTTGTCTAGTAACGCCAGGATTTTTAATCAGCAGATGTCAGTCTAAAAAGCCTTTAGCTCAAAAACAGAATTAGTAAAATACTACTTTGTGTCTGTTCAAATTTGGGCTACTTCACTGTTGGTAAGGAAAACAAATGCCTAAAATGAAAACTAAAAATGAAAGTCAGTTACAAGACAGCATATTACATTTTGGAGATTCAGAAACATTTAGAAACATTTAGACTACACTTAAGTGTCCTCTGCCCAGCTTGCTAACAGATTTTGTAAAAACAAGCAGTTATGGCAAGTCTTGAATATGCCTGTGGGCAGATGCAGAACTGAAACTCTAGATAAAAGGGCTTCCTAAAACAATTTATTACATTTGAGCTACGTTGTACATTTGAACTACAGAAGCATGGCAAAATTTTACAAGACTGCCAAGCCAATCTTACAGGTCACTTACATCAAAAGACATGGTCCCGACTCCCTGGGCACTCATTCATCTGAAGCACAGCAGAGCTAGTCTAGCTTGCTCAACTGACAGAAGACTGTTTACTGAGTTAGTTTTTTGACAGTTTGGCAGGTTAACTTGAATCAGTGGGATGACGAGAGAGAAAGAGAACGAATGAATAAGGGAACTAGTAAGAAACACACAATAGGGGAGGAAAACTACCAAACAATTAGATCAGCTCAGCTATCTTGTGAATGTTCAGAGTAGGAAGCAATATGCTCAAAAAGAAAAAAAAGTATGTTTGTCCAACAATAGTTAACGATATAACATGAGATCTCTGTACCGAGATCTAAATTACTTGTTTTAAATATGGTCCACTGCCTTACTAATGTATTCATGTAAAGATGCCAAATAAAGTGTAAAATCACAGCATAAAGCTCATCTACTCAGGGCTTCTTGCTGTTGCCAAAAATCAGACTAAAAAAAAAAAAATATATTACTGCCAAGTCTTAAAAGACATCTTCAAAGATACGTTAATGGGTGCTTGGCTTTAGCTGTGCAAGCTTATTTTTTCAGAAAGACATTTCTTGGTCTCCAGGTAATTTTGCAAGTTGACAGTTATGTTTTTGCAAGGAACAAACTGAAATTAACTTAGATTTCTAGTTGCCTTTATCAATCATTTCCTGATTACTTAAAAGTTGCAAACTGCACATGAATGAGTTCAATGGTGAACTCAAGATGCAGCTCTTCCATTTAATTCAAATTCTGTTGCTTGTTTTATGTATTATAATTGCCTTCAATAAAAACATAATTTAGGAAATCCAAGAAGCATGTAGTAAAGGCACTCTAATCTTTATCAAAGACTCTTAGGGACCACGAACAACTAACTCCAATCAATAAATGAGTTTTTTTGTTTCTTTGTTTTTGTTTGAAATGCAATGCTTCAGTTCTACACACTATTTCAAAAGAAAGTTAAAAAAAGGACCATACTAGCCCTCCCCACACCACGATCTTCAGAGTGAAGGGCAGATTCTCCAGCTTGCTTATGTAGATGATTTCTGAAGTCAATATAGAGATAAAACAAGACTTTGACAATTCCCTCTCCCCCACAATATCCTAGATTCTAGAGTCAGAGGCTATCTACAGTTAATCTAAGAAGCATCAATTGTGTGTGAATGATCAAGAGTAATCTAGGGTTAGGAGGCTCAAGGTTATGTTGTCATGAACCGCACAGGTCACACAGCTTTTGGGATCAGTTTATCATACCACTTCTTCAAATGCAGATTAAGAAGATTTATTTATGTTTTGGAAAAATACAGCACTAACGCTTTCTGATGAAGAGCTCAACCAAATCTTAACAAAGCGATATTAATGAATTTTTAGCACTTTAATGAAAACAATTGATAGTTCAACAAGTAAAGCTCTTACCTTGTACAATGCTGCACATCCCACAGATACAAAAAATGCCCCAAACAGATGAAACTTCATCCGTCTGGCCAGAAGGCGCCTCATTTGTGGCTTGGGCAATAGTGCAGACGACATGGCGATTCTATTTCCTAGAAGAAAAAAAAAAAAAAAGAAGAGAGAGAAGATAACTCTGGGACAAGCAGCTTTACTTAAGCAGTTTTCTTTAACTCTATTCTAGAAAGATTATGCCCTTGAAAAACGTGTAATCGGCCTCTTCGCAGACGAAGCAACAGAGCTTCCCTCTATTTGACTTTCAAGTGAGAATATTTAATGTACAACATTCAAGGACAACCTATTCACGACAAGAACCTAAATAAGATTTTATATCCTTTACATCCAATAGTTAGGGTAGTTAAACTGGCCTTCCCTGTTAACGCTAAATCTCTCCTTTCCTGCAGGGTCTACCATGTCAGGCCTACTACTGGTTACAACAGAAGACCTCCAGAGCCTCGGTCTTCTAGGCCAGGAAAAACACGTGCCTCTTGAGCCAATTATTTAAAAAAAAAAAAAATCTACTGCATTAAAGGGTTTTATCTATTCAGTAGGATTTTACTTACAACCTACAAGCCCTGCAGCAGACGGCTGTCATTAAACACAGTTCAGTGCGGAAAGGCCCAGCGGCAGAGCTGCCCGGCCGCAGGGCGCAGCCTCCTGCGCTCACAGGGTCACGGAGCAGGAGCAAAGCCGGGAGGTGGCCCCGCTGGGCCCGAGGAA